ATCCGGGACCCTATGTGATGGTGCGGAAATGATCTGCACCTAGTGACTCTTTCCTGGCCAGCAGTGTGCAGTGGGCACTAGGGATGGTGGGAGAAGTATGGAGTACCACTTCCAGTTAGACACACCATCTGTTGAAATTGCAAAGGGAGCTGACGTCCCCAGGGTGCCGCAGGGTGAGCTTTAGGGTAGGTAGCTTAGGCGAGAGTGCATTTTCAACGTAGAGTGTTTGGACCTCAGAGTTTATTGGGATGTAATCCCATCATTAAATCCCCAAGTGCCTGTATAGTAGGTTTGCTGGGTTGGGGGCAAGCATTGACTTTGCTTGAAGGTTTTGAGGTTATAAGGCAGATACCAAGATGTGTTCATTACAAAGATTTTGAAAATTGGAGGTAAATTAACTATACTAACAATAAAAATTAAGAGAGCGTGCACTGTGTTCCAGTACACCTAAATTTCTCTTCCTTCTGACATTTATAATAAACACAGGGCTGGCTCTACAGGAACTGTGCCCATCAAAAAAGACTGGTATGTGATTATAGTAGTGTATGCTAAACTGAATAACTCATAAACCTCAGAATAGCACTGACAAGACGACTTCCTCAATTGTGACACACCTGGACACCCTGTTCTAGTAACACTGGCCCATGGCGCAATGCAGAGATGTTCACGTGTGTCTGACATCCCAAGGACTTTTTTACGTGTATCTGTGCATTTGGAGGCCAGAGCTCAACCTTGGGTGCCATTCTCAGGAACACAGTCCACTTCCTTTGCCACAGTCTCTCACCGAGGTTGATAACCGCCAGCTTGACGATCTGTGCTGTGAGCTTCAGGGCTCCTCCTGTCCCTTCCTCCCCAGTGCCCAGAGGGGGATTATAAGCACGAGTCATTGTGCCTGGCATCACGTGGATTCTAGGGATGGAATTCGGGTCTGCGTGCTTGCAAGCCACACTTTCTACCAACAGAACCATCTCCCAGCCCTGGACAAAGGACTGTAGTCAGTTTTTAGGTAGAGAGAGAATAAAGTAAATGACTGTTATAATGAAGCAGGCCAAGGAGAACAAGTTAAAGGATTGGCTAAGAGCAGGGAGACGAGTGAACGTGTTCTCTGTAGGCCTTGCTGTCACACAGATGTGTCAGTCTGGGGGGGTGACAGCACCCTGTGCCCCTGCTGGTGGTGCCTAATGGAAGGCAGGTCACTGAGGATGTGCTCTTGAAGGGTGTTGGGACTGACTGACACCCTTCCTTGCTGGTTCCTGCCAACACACAGCTCCGCTCTGTGCTCCAGCTGTGGCGTGCTGTGTCACCACAGGCCTGCAGAGCCAAGCCAGCCAACCTAAAACCGCCGAACACCGTGAGCCTAAATAAGTAAGTAGAAATATCCCCCTTTTTCAGCTGATTTTCTGTGAAGTTTGTGTTAGCAGAAGAAGCCTAACAAACCATGAGATGACCTACAGACCTCCCGCTACACCCTGCCTCTGAAAGGTTCAGTCAGAAGGAGGCATAGGACGAGAATGTGAGGGGTTGGCACGTGTCCCAGCATCCATGCAGAGGTCAGAGGGTGACATCTCAGGAGTTAGTTCTCTCCTTCCACCTTGCTTTTGAGTCATAATCTTCCTTATGGTTTCTACAGCTGGAACCCATAGGTTTAGTTTGGTTTGGTTTTGTTTCTTTAAAGCCAAATGCCTTCAGGAAGCCCTTAAAAAAGCCCATGTCTGTAATCCCAGGAGTGCCATAAAAAGCCCATGTCTGTAATCCCAGGAGTGCCATAAAAAGCCCATGTCTGTAATCCCAGGAGTACCATGGTGAGCTAGGAGAACTGGTCGGAAGCTTGCATACACCACATGACAGCAGAAACAAGAAGCTGCCCCAGATTTGAGGCCATTTGATCAAGAAAGTCCTTAAAACAGAAATAGATTGTAAACTGTTGGTGGTGAGGGGTCAGAAATCCTCAAAGCTCACATGTAATTTCAGTGAGAGGGTATCGGCCCAGGTAGACGGTAGAGTGGAATCCCTTAGGAATTAGGACAGAAAAGGCCATGTAAAGAGATACCAATTTCCTTTAGTAAGGATGTGAAAACATGACAGGGGATGATCAGGCTTAGGCTTCCAGCTTGGGCAGTTTGACCATGGGCCACTGGCTTGTCGTCTTCCGAGGGCCACTCTCATGACTTCCTTGAGGGTTGAGATTGACCATCTCCTCAGGGTTGTGGGATGATGTTTTTAATCACAGTGTGTGACGAGGCCCCTGCATTAGCACATTCTTGAGAACAATGCAGCCTATGCGAGATGAGGAGAAACCTCCAAACCATCGTAGAATAACATGAAATTTTTGATGTGACCAAGTCCTCATGAAGCAAATGCCCCAGAAAACTGGTGGTAATTAGTACAATAAAAATAGTGACAGTGACTCTCAGTAGCCACATTTTGCACGACAGTGTTTACCACCACACATGTATTCTCCTTTACTTCTGACCTGAGGAGCAGGTGCCAAGGGCTGCTGAGATGGAGTATTGAACAACCTGAAACTGGAGAACTAGAATCCAAGTTCAAATCCGCCACTGAGCACTGGGTGGGACTGCTTCCCATGAACCAGGAAGCAGCTGACTTCTCTTTAATGAAGGAGCCAGACACCCAGTTACAAGCATTAGAGCATGTGATCTGAAATGCCTATGGGCAGCCAGCCTGTGGATTGGCTGAAAGAGGAGAGTTGGGAGCATGGGCACCTGCGGCGGCGGCTTGGGTGCTTAGGAAGTTGTGTCTGTGTTTAGTTCCCATCCATCATTACTCATCATTAGAAAACGGTGTCAGCTTCACAGAGCATATTTGCTGGGCTCCGATTTGAACTCAGAATAAGCTGAATATAGTTAAGTGAACTGTGGTTGTTCATCAAGCAAAGCCATTTGGGAGTTGTTGTGAACATGTCAGTGGACTGTTAGGTAGCCGAGCCAACTGCTCAGAAACTTCCTTAAGACTAAGGTGGTCCAGAGCTTCACTGTGGAGCCGGGTTGCCCAGGCTTGAACCCTGACCCACTGGATCTTAGCTATATAACCATAGGTAACCTAACTCCATTGGATGTTGTTCTTAGGCAAGTTACTTACTCCCCCTGCCCCTCCATTTCCGTTATCTTAAGATTTATTTTTACCCTTTTTGGAATCCCCTGTATGCAGATGTGTGTCTGCATGTGCATATGAGTGCAGATGCCCCCGGAGGCCAAATGCATTGGATCTCCCCTAGGTGAGCCACCAGATGAGGGTTGGGAGCCAAACTCTAGTCTTCTGCAAGGACAGTCCACACTCTTAAATGCTGAGCCAGCTCTCCAGCCCCTCAGTTTTCTTTTCTGTGAGGCAGGGGTAACATGGTAATGTGTAAGAAGGGCAGGGTTATTGGGGGATTTGATGAGTTAACACATGGTACAGCATGTCCTGTGTGGCGGAGAGAAGTGCCCTTGTTCCAGTTTCACTGTTAAAAGGAAAGGAGGTTTAATAAGCAAACCACCCCTGATACTTGTTCTAATAAATAGTTAAGCAAAATCCTAAGTTTTGGAAATCAAAAACGAACACCATATTGTTATCTCTCATGCATTGCCCACAATGGGTTGTTTTTTAAACTCCTGCCATGATAGTTTTGGCTTGTACGCTAAGATTTTTTTTCTACCGCAGACACTTCTGTAGTCGCTTATAACCTAGCACCTGTCGTCTGTGGAATTGAAGCAAACAGATGTTTAGTAAAGGAAAGGGCACTGGTCTAAGAGCAGGAAGAGAAGAGTCTGAGGAGCAGCACATTTGGAGAAGGCTGCACTCTAGTCATCGACTTAAACAGGCCAGGAATTGAAATAAAGCTCAAGCATATTCACTGAAAACACATTAAGGACCTTTCTGTATGTCAGACTCTGGGTGATACACAAGAAGGGACAAGAGTTCCACCCTCAGGGGCATGATGCTCTACCAGGTGGGGGTGTCAGATGAGTAGTAAAACATGGCAGTTGTCACCAGGAAAGCCTGTGCGGCCACAGTGGGGCACTGGGAGGAAGGGGTTCCTGCTGGGGTGGAGGGCGAGACAGAGAGGAGTGGAATTAGCTGGGAGACTGCAGAAGCCTGGGGCAGCTCTGTGGAGAGGGTGAGCTTACCCCAAAGACAGGTCAGAGCAGGGACCTCAGGCCTCCAGTCATAGCCAGCATCTGTGGGCACAGTCTCGTGGAGACACATTTCATGGGATCATCAGTGGTGGGCCAGAAATCACTGGCCTGCCATTCTCCAGGAAGTTGAGTTTTCAGCAGTTATATTTAGGCTATTTTTAAAGTAAATTGAATGTTTGGCTTTTATTTTTATTTTTTTTAAAGCTTGATACTGGTATTGAATGCAATTCATTTCTTTAGTTGTGCTGGAATTGTGTTTGCATTTTTGCCCTCTGTGAATATACTTCTTCAGAGTGATTGCTGCATTCCTACAGGTAAACGCTACAGTGTCTTCCTTGGTTAAAACAGTCTGGTGAAAATGTGGTTCTCAAAACCATGAGTGTGGGGAGATGGTTCAGTAAAGTGTTTGCTGCACAGACATGAAGACCTGAGTTCAGTCCTCAGCACACAGAAAAAACCTGGCGTGATGGCACATGGCTATAATCCCAGTACTGGGGAGGCGGGACGGGGGCGGGGACAGGGGCGGGGGCGGGGGCGGGGACAGGCAAGCATGGGGGCGGGGACGGGGGAGGGGGCGGGGACAGGCAAGCATGGGGACCGGGGGCGGGGCGGGGACAGGCAAGCATGGGGGCGGGGGCGGGGACAGGCAAGCATAGGGGCTGGGGCGGGGACAGGCAAGCATGAGGACCGGGGCGGGGGCGGGGACAGGCAAGCATGGGGGCGGGGCGGGGGCGGGGGACAGGCAAGCATGGGGGCGGGGACGGGGGCGGGGACAGGCAAGCATGGGGGCGGGGTGGGGGAGGGGGCGGGGCGGGGGCGGGGACAGGCAAGCATGAGGACCGGGGCGGGGGCGGGGACAGGCAAGCATGGGGGCCCGCTGGTCCAGCCAGTCTAACCAAAACAGTGAAGGTTGTGAAAGAGCCTGTCTCAAAAAAATAGAGAAACAATTGAGGGAAACAATTTCTCTCCCTCTTTTTTACACACACACACACGTGCACGCACGTGCACACACACAACTGGAAAGAGAATTTTTGAAGCGACTTCCACAAACCTGGCTATGAACAGGCTTTGGCTCAGGCCGTGGCCCCTCTTTGATCAGACACTAGGTCCAGCGTGATCTACGTAGCCAGGCTGAGCCTGCCAACCTGCGCAAGACAGATCGCAGATGTGAAGAATCGGTGTGGAAACACCCTGTGGTGGAGCCGAGCCCTCCCGTTGGCTTTTATTGCCCAGCTGGGGGGGGGGACCTTATCTATTATTTCAAACCCCGCCCACCCTCATCTCACCACCAGTGAGCAAACAGAAAGATAAAGGGTTTTTCGCTATTGTTTATTGCTGTTAAAATTTAACCTTGATTAAGATTTAGAGAACCATTTCTTCAGTCCCCAAGACGTATCTTGAAGTAAGGAATTTTATTTTATAAGCATACATACTATTAACTTGAAAAATTATCTTTCACCCCCACCCCTACATGAAAGGTTTCTGCCCACAAGGTCACCCAGTGTACTCTATCAGGGACATCTGTCTTAGGCAGCTGCTCTGACAACTTGCCCTTTTGGTAAGAACTGCTACAGGGCGGGTTGGGCCACCTCTCTGCTCTTAGGCAACCCCAGAGCAGTGTCCTGAGATGTTACCTGGATGGAGCTTTGCACGGCATACTGCTGAACTAGAGTTAGGTGTCCACAGGTCAGGGCCGCAGACGGACAGCGTCTGGAGTGGAGCTGCTGGAGCAGGCTCTTTTTATGGGAGGTGATGAGTGTGAAACCCCGAGAAGTCTGGTGGTTTGCTCAGAGCCCCAAAGGTAGTCACTCTGCTCAGGTCACTTAGCTGAACACCTCCTGCACTTGCAGGACTAGGCAGGAAGCATTTAGGTAATTTGATTGCCAGTCTGTCTTCGTGGACACACAGACAAGGCAGCCTCATCATGAGAACTCTCTTGTGTGTTAAAGCAGAAACCAGCTGCCTTTTGGAGAACATGTGGAGGGCCAGCACAGCTGAAGACTTGTCAGGGTAGACCAGAACACTTTGCCACTGACCATTCGGTGTAGAATTTCAGGCCATGCCTGCGTCTGGACAAAGCTGTAGTCCGGGGTGAACAGGAATGCTGTTGAGCGCTGCTGTATAATTTTAGCTGTTCCTGGTTGTCCCTTTCCCATGTGCCTTGGCGACGCAGAAAAGCAGAGTCCACAGCAGAATCACACATGTCTCTTCAGACTTCAGCATACTGCAGCTTTAGTCTTAGTTTGGTTTTCCTGTTGGCGGGAAAGGGATTTTAATTTTTCATGGAAGGAGATGCAGAGTTTGGAAAGCAGAGTCAACAGTGGCGAGGAAAGGAAGAATCTGACTCGGTCCTTCCAAAAGGTCAAGAGGAGAGCATCCTAAGACTTAAGCCAGGGGGCTGGAGAGAGGGTTCAGTGGCTAAGAGCACACACTGCTCTTACAGAGGATCCACGTACAATTCCCAGCACCCATATTGGGCAGCTTACGACTGCCTGTAATTCCAGCTTCAGGGAACCTGATGCCTCAGGCCTCAGAGGGCACCAGCACTAACATACATGTACAGATGTGTTCACAGATACACACATAACCATAAAGTAAATCGTCTTTGTCTTTAAAGACTTGGCAGAGAGATGGCTTCTCTCTTTCCTTAGTTGGCAAAGTACTTGTGCACAAGCCTGCAGACCTGAATTTAGGTCCCCAGTACTCCCACACAAAGCAGAGTTCCCAGGCAGCATGTGCCTGGAACCCCAGCGCTGGGGAGGTAGAGGGAGGAAGATCCCTATAGCTTGAGATCCAGCCAGTCCAGCCAAATGGGAGCTCCAGGCTGAGTAAGACCTTGTCTCAAAAGATAAAGTGGGAAAGTGATTGAGGAAAACTGCTGATGTCAACCTCTGGTCTCCATGTTTACATGAACCTACACCCCCCCACACACACACACATTCATTCACTCACTCACTCACTCACTCACTCAGGCGGTTGTCAGCTAGGTGAGAAAAGCCCCACTCAGCCAGGCCCCTGTTTCAGGAGGGGCCTAGAGCTCAAGCAGGTCAGGGTGTTAGTTCTCAGGGTTCTCTGAACACATGACCTGATCAGCTTTGAGATGAAGCTTAGGAAATCCATCTGGCTCCACATCCAAGGATAAACCTCAGGGCCGAAGCAAAAAGAACAGGTTACTGATAATGTTTAGGAAGCAAGTTTGGAATCTGGCTTCTCAGAGGTGTCTTGCAGAAAGAACTGCAAGGATTGCAGCAGTTCCCAACCAGGCATGCTGCCCTGAAGTGAAGTTAGGGACCCGAGACTCCGAAGGCACCTGTGCACCTGCACCTGCATGGACCAGGTTGTGTGTCCCTAAATTCATGTTGGAACGCTTACCCCAAGTACCACGGAATGTGGGTTTTAGAGACAGGGCCTTTAAGGAAAAGATAAACTGAGATGAAGGCATTGTGGGGAGTGCGGGGAGTGCTAATGTAGTCTGCTAGCATCCTTACAAGACAGGGCTAGGCTGTGCCGGGATGCACCGGGCGAGAAGGCCATTAGGAGCTAAGACAGAGGTCTCAGCCGAAGCCAGCTCACCACTGCCTTTATCTCGGATGTTTACCCCCCAGGGATCACAGGAAAATGAATTTCTGTTATTTCAGTCACCACTCTTTGGGATTTTATTACAGCTGCCCTAGGAAACTAATACAGACAGTGTCTACAGATCACAAAGCCACCATCGACGTGAACAGACCTTCATAGTGCTTTTGTTTGTTTTCCAGTCCTGGAGATGAAGCTGGCTCTCATGCATGCTAAGCTGTACTCATGGCTTCCCCTTTAACTGTGCACATGCATGCAGGAGACCAGAGTGCAGGAGAAGGATCGCTTGGAGCTGGAGTTATCCATGTGAGTGTAGGAACTGGAAGAGCAGTGTGCACTCTTGACCACTGGGCCGTCTCTCCAGCCTCTTCTTTTGTTGTTGAAGTCTCACTGAGTTGCCCAAGCTGGCCTAGCACTCATCCTGTAGCCCAGACTAGCTTTGCACTCAACAGCATCCTGCCTCCACCTCTTGTTCAGCTCTTCCTCATTCTAAAGAAGGCATTTCCGCACCAAGATACTGATCTTTACTGTTAACTTGTGAATGTGATGGCATCTCAATAAAGATTCAAGAACTGTTTTGTTTCCAGAAGGTCTCGGGTAGTGACTAAAGCTCTTTGGAAAGAGAAGCATGTAGCTAAACACAGGAGGAAAACCAACAGGGGCTGGCCTGTCAGGCATTGAAACCCTTTATTAATACGGTGGTGTGGGCCGGGTGGGGGTGGTGCGTGCCTGTAATCCCAGCACTCACGAGGAAGAGGCAGGAGCATCTCTGTGAGTTCACGGCCAGCCTGGCCTACAGAGTGAGTTCCAGGACAGCCAAGGTTACACAGAGAAACCCTGTCTTGAAAAACCAAATGCACACACGTGCATAGTTAACCAAAAGTAATTAAAAACACCACCACCAATAAAAACAGTGGCGTGGCCACAGACTAGAGCAGAATGGAATGTCTGAAAACAGAACAGACACAGGACACTATGGAAAGTTAGCGGCTCAGTCCCCAGGACAGAGATAGCCTCTTAATCAGTGGCATTTAAGGTGGCTGGCTAACCATTCAGAAAAAAGGTAAAATTAGATGCATTCCTCATACCACAAATAAAACCAGTGGATCAGAAACCTAAATAAATTGAGAAACTCTGCGTGTCCCAGAAGGGTACAGGGATAAATTCTTCCATTCAGCATGGGCATACAAGATTTTATAACTTCAAATTCATAACACACACACACATGCACACACGCACACAACACAAGAAGGATGACCAAACAGGAAGCTGGACAGCTACCCTGTGAGGAGGTTAGAAGAGGGAACTGAACAGAAGAGATGGGAGATGTATTGTTCTGACCTTCGGAACCATGTTAGTGTTTTCTGGATTTGGGAATGGGGGAATCAGTGAGGACTGACAATAAGTTGTGCCTGTAAGCCTAACCCTGAAAGTGGGAGTCATACCCAAACAAACTTTGAGCAAATGAAAATGAACCCACGTATTTTGCGCATAAAAATAAATTTGAAAAGAAAACAAATTCCTAGGTGTAGTTTATAAGCTGGTATGAATATAGTAGTTTTGAAGAAAATAGTGTATTTAAGGGAATTCATGAATGTATTGAAACTGGGCCAGGCATGTTGACCCATGCCTATAATAATCCCTGTGTGCGGGAAGTGGAGGCAGGAGGATCAGGAGTTCAAAGTCATCCTTGGCTACAAGTTTGAGGCTAACCTGGTCTATATGAGTCACTCTCAAAAGTTCCAAACGATTAACTACGTAATAATGAAGGAAGGGAAATACAACGTAGATGAGCTGGGTTGGACTTGGGGAGAGCATTGCATACAAAGTGCTTCTGCACACACCCCAATGTGCACACATACGGCTTAGAGTTAGTGTGACTTCAGAGTCTATGATGTTCCTCATTAAAAGGAACCAGGGACCCAGAGACGAAGAGGAGGAAGTGAGGCAGAAGCCAGAAGCACCGGGTTTCGAAAATCAGAGAGATGCTGACCCCATGCCCCTGAGGCGCAGCGGCTGCCATGGCCAAGTACCTGGCCCAGATCATTGTGATGGGTGTGCAGGTGGCGGGCAGAGCCTTTGCCCGGGCTCTGAGGCAGGAGTTTGCAGCAAGCCAGGCAGCCGCTGGTGCTCGGGGTCGTGCTGGGCACCAGTCTGCAGCTGCATCCAACCTCTCTGGCCTCAGCCTTCAAGAGGCCCAGCAGATTCTCAGCATCTCCACGCTGAACCCTGAGCGGGTCCAGAAGAATTATGAATACCTGTTTAAGGTGAACGAACGGTACGTCCGTGGGAGGCTCCTTCTACTTGAGTCAAAGGTTGCTCGTGTGAAGGAACGTCTAGATGAGGAACTCCAAATACAAGCCCAGGAAGAGAGAGAGAAAGGGCAGGTGCCCAAAACGGGACTGCTGGCCACTCCCACCGCACCCATTTATAGCTTGGTAATAAATGTCTTTTCCATGTTAAAAAAAAAATCTGGGATGCTTAAAGAGTGGTAGCATGTTTTAGAAGGCATAAAGAACAAGCAGCAGCCAATTGTAGGACACAGTGATCCACAAAAATAGACAAGAATAGGAACATTTCAGCCCATTTATCAAGAATTCACAAATGCATGCCAGTGGCTATTAGAGATGAGAAAGAGGCAGGAGATGGGGAAGCCCCTCCTCATGGTAGAATTCTGACTCCAAAATAAGAATAATGGAACGAAAGAAAAGTCATGTTACAACCATCTGAGCAAAGGTTGACTCAAGCAAAAATCTACATTCAGGGTTGATGAAGTCTGATGAGAAATGGAAAGTTTACTCAGTCTGGAGGGTCTGCCGACTGGTAATTACAAAAAGACGCAGTAGCTGTGGATGGTAGGTGAACTGGGCAATAGTCTAACCAAGCAGTTGAAAGGGAACAGGCAAATGATTGGCTTCTGGGTATGTACCTAGAGAAGGGCGTAACATCACCTGCATAGTATGGTAGCCTAGAACCACGGGGTTTAATTATAAAGAACTGTCAGAGGAACCCATGTTGAAAGGCAGTCTGTAAAATCACTGATAAATACATCAGTGGTTACTGTGTCAGTAATGGTCTCAGGTATGTGTAGAAGTCAGTCTGACTGTGTACCAGTTACTCTTGACTGTTGTGGAGTTAAGGAGCAGACAGTGTACAGTACCTGCTCTCAGAGTGTTTGGGGCGGGTGGGAAGTGTTTGGAGCAGAAGGGAAGAGAATGAATGACTTAGTAAATGTGGCAAACTTAAAATGGGATCAGGCAGGTGAGATGGCTCACTGGGTAATGGGGCTTGCCGTGCAGACTTGGAGACCTGAGTTCAACCCCAGAACCCATGAACCCATGTAAAGGTAGAAGGTCAGAACTGACTCCATGAAGTCCTGTGACCTCCACACGCTCTGCACACGGCACACCCCCCCACAATCATCATCTTAATGATGATGATAATGATAAGCTTTAAAGGTAAAAGAGAAAAATAAAAGTGGGTGAATCTGGCTACAGGGGATATACAAGAGTTAACTACTATGGGAGTTTATGTTAAAATAAGAAGTGACTGAAAAGAATGGTCACAGAAGCTTTAATACAGTGATCCCTTCCTAGAAACATCCCAGGTCATCTGTAGGTAAAACTGTATCATCAGATAAATTAAAGACACATAGAATAATTCATAAAACTGAGTGAATCTCACAAGTATAATGTTGAGCCAAAGATGAGTCAGGGGGTTATAACAATCTATTTATTTGAAGATTTGTGCATCTTACTATGGATTTAGAATAGCTTAGTTTACTAGAGGTGCCTGGGCCTCCATCAGCAGAGACAGAGTCTCTTAAAGTGTAGTTCAATGGTAATGCCCATGCTTAGTGTACACAAGGCACCAAGTCTGACCCACAGCACCATGAAAACATAAAACAGTCAGAGATGAGAAAAAGGCCACCTGTCACGTTCATCGATCTGGAGTGTCTTCGCTGTGCTTGATAGTTCATGTCCACGGTCATCTAAACACTGATTGATCTCTGTGATGTACTGGGTCCATCTCAGCACTGTGCCTTGATGCAGATCACTACCAAACAAGATGGCAGCAGGAAGTACAGTGCCCTTTCCTGTCATGAAGTCCGTTTTACCCCCCATGGCCACCGCCCCCTGCTGGCAGTAGGAGCAGTTAAGTTCCCCGTCCTGGAGCTGTTAGGCAATGAGGGCTGCCAAAGTAGGTGCCTTAGGAAGAAGAGTCCGCCTGATGTAAGGGGAACCTGCTAATGTTGCTTTGCTGCAAGTAGTTACTGGACCTCCAGCTGATGACCAGGAAAGGCAGGCTGGGCGAGTCCCAGCACCTGGGAGGTTCTTCTCAGCTGCCTAGCTCGTTCAAGGGCAGCATGGGCTCCATGAGGCCTAGTCACCAAAGGAAAGAAAAAGGGAGAAAAGAAGAGAAGGAACAAGTGATTGGGGTGGCCAGTTCAGAAGTGCTAACTCAGGCTGCAGCGGCTAAAAGACAAAGAATGTTTGTGTGTCCATCAGTAATTCAAGACACTAGGCTGTATGAGATGGGTCTCTGCTGGCAGTAGGAGGCCTTTACCAGGGGTTTCTTTGACACAGTGTCCACCTCAGTTAACTGTTGGAAGGTAGAAGTAGAAAATAATTCTTGCGCCGGGCGGTGGTGGCGCACGCTTTTAATCCCAGCACTCGGGAGGCAGAGCCAGGCGGATCTCTGTGAGTTCAAGGCCAGCCTGGGCTACCAAGTGAGTCCCAGGAAAGGCGCAAAGCTACACAGAGAAACCCTGTCTCGAAAAACCAAAAAAAAATAATAATAATAATTCTTGCTTTGCACAGATTCCATCACTATGCAAGAAATAAATTATATTTATTATACTCGAATAGCAAGGGGAATCCACAAGTGTTATCACTTTATAATAATTGACAAATGAGATGTAGTGTGAGGAATTTTAATACTTTCCCAAACCATTTTACCAAGTTGGCAGCTAAGTCAGTGACAGCCCATGTGTTGTGCATGCCTTCCAGTAGAAGCACTGTAGAGCAGGAACAAGGTTCCTGGAGAGCCAACTCCACATCTAATGTCACCAAACATTCCTTTAGGGAAGTGTGTCGGGGGTCCTGGCCACCATCCGCAGTAACCAATTTAAAATCTCCTTCCTTCTCTCATGTGGTTTTAACACATGTTGCTTCTCTCTACCGTTTGCAGACCACAAGAACAGGAGGGCTTCCCAAGGTCTTTGTCACTGAGCGGAGCCACCCCGTGACCCTGGAGGACACCTTGGGGTCTGGTGACATTCCCCAGGGTAGGGTTCTATAAGTCAACATTAGGCAGCCATCCCTCCTAGGGTGCCATATGGTGATGGCTCTGTCAGGATTTTCTGCGGTTAGCCGGGCTAGTTTCATCACCCAAGCTCTTAGCTTTCCGAAGACAGCTTTTTGCTTCTGTCTTAGTCTTGGGTCTTCAGCCGGCAAACGTAACTATACCCTCTGCATCCTCCTTGGTCCTGTTGTGTGGTGTTGAGGACCACGGAGAAGTGGGTGCATTCATCCAAGTCCTCACAGAAAGGATGCTTCTAAGTATGGCTGCCAGGACATCCCCGAACCTCAGAGGCTGTGTAACTGACTGCCTTCCCTGGGCTTCGGTGTCACATGCTCATTGTTTACTGCTTTTTATTTTAAAAGGAGTTAATGTGTCGATTACAACACTTAATGGTAAATAATACCATTCAATACATATCAACTCAGATTTGAGCAGACTGTTACATGAGAGTATCAGTGTCGATATGTACATATGTAAACAGAGTGGCCCAGGCTGGACTCCAACCTCGGATCCCTTTGCCTTAGCCTCCCTCCTGAGTACTGGGATTGTGAGTGTATGCCAGTGTGTGTGTGTGTGTGTGTGTGTGTGTGTGTGTGTGTGTGTGTGTGTGAAGGGGTACACATGCCACAGTGCACAAGCGGAGGTCAGAGACCAACCCTGTGGAATCGGTCTGTCCTTCCACCTTTACCTGAGTTCCAGGGATCAAATTCGGTCTCTTACTGTATGACAGACCCTTTTACCCATGAAGCCATCTGGCTAGCTGGTGATATATATTGTTAATTATGCTTTAGCTTTTTTGTGAATAGGAAAATTAAAAATGGAATAAAGCAACTAATTTTAATCTGAAACTGTCTTCCCAGTGGCGCTGCCTTTAGGCTGGGGTCCTGTGATCTAGGCTGTCCTCTGGAGCGGAGAGTCACTTTCCTCGGACAGCAGGGTGGAGGTCAGGTCATTTGCCCTCACCTACCATGAGGTAATGACTGGTTCTCACTTCTCTCACTTGTCCCTGTTCTCTTCCCGTGCCCAGTCCTTCCTCCAGTGCTGGTGCCCAGGCACAGCGAGTATAACCCTCAGCACAGCCTTCTGGCGCAGTTCCGCAACCTGGGACAAAACGAGCCTCACATGCCGCTGAACGCCACGTTTCCAGATTCCTTCCAGCAGCCCAGCAGCCACCCATTCCCCCACTCGCCCAACAGCAGCTACCCCAACTCTCCGGGCAGCAGCAGCAGCACCTACCCTCACTCCCCAACCAGCTCAGACCCAGGCAGCCCTTTCCAGATGCCAGGTAGGAGGGGGCATTCTGGGCCCTGCCTTGGGGAGGTGGGTGGGCGTGGCCTGCAGGGGGATGGGGGGTTGAGCCCTGGACAAGCCCCTTTGAGCCAGTGCTTCAGAATAACAGCATATCGCGGGGAGTCATACAGCCGGAGGAGAGGGTGGCCTGTTTGATTCCTGCTATATCTTCCCCTTGTTTTCAAAAGTTTTGAAACAGCTGCATCCTTCTGGGAGTGGCATGGTTGTCCCAGTCTCTGAAAGGGAAATGTCATGTTACACAGTGCTGTTCTGTGGCTTCGGCCAGCATTTCCCACGTTGAAGATCTCCCTTGCTATCGCTGCGGCCACAGAAGAGTTAGTTCCCGAGGGATCACACCCCCCATTTAATTAGATGCATTTAGCCGATGATGTAATCCCAAGAAATGTACTTTTAACAACAAGGAATTGCAACAGAAGGTGCTGGAGACCATCTGCTTGTTGAACTGAGCAAAGACAAAAACCAGTTTTTTTCCTGTCTTAGTCATAACGGATGGTGTAATAGTTATCAAAATAAGTGATTAATTAGAAGATTATATTTTTCAAATTACAGGTTAGTAAACAAGCATCTCAAATATTGGTGCCAGAGCTCATGCTAGTTGACATCAAGAAGGACATGATACATCATGAAATCTGTGAATATTTTTGTTAGGGAAAAGACTGGGCAGGCATGTTTACAGAGCCACTTAAAAGTGCTTTTAATTAAATTTTACTTCAACATCCATGTTGGACCTTCAGAAATTGATCCATGCTTTATTGCTTCTTCTTTCTTTTTAAACACTTGTTTTTCAGCCGGTTTAATTTGCATTTTTTTGTGTTTGGGATGAAGATGGGAGATAGATTATTTTAGTAGCCAAACTAATAACATTTGGTGGTTTCCTATCCACCCATTCCCTGGCAAGCCCATTGGGTCTGGTGGACTGGACGGGTTAGTGGGGAAAGGGTCCGTTTCAGAGGACTTTTGACAGGGGCAACCCCAGTGAAAAAATCAAAGACTGTCACTTGAATCCCGTCTTGTCCTGGACTGCCCGGGGTTAAAGTACAAGCCCAGGAAAGGAGAACAGAAGGGCTGTGCTCTGCAGGGATGGCAGAGCCCCATCAGCTACGATCTGCCTGGGGGAGCCCTGGTGGTGCCACGGGTCGCTAGTGAGATTTTCACCAGCCTGTTGGTGTAAATTCAGTGGGTTCTGCTGAGAAGAGGCTCCACCTCGCTGCTGCCTCCAGGCCAGCAGAGTTAACTTCACTGCGGCCGGCAGCAAGAAGCTGGAGTGAGGCGGGACAGTCTGAGAGGGTCCCAGGAGGCCCGCTGGCTCTCTGCTGGGTCGGAGGTGGGAGGAGTTGCCAGGGAGGCCTGAAGGAGCAGAGTTTGTTATTTGGGTTCCATGGTTGCTTCTGAGTATTTACCCAAGCATTCATGGCTCCCTGTGGTAAAATTGTGTTCTCCAGGCTCTGCTGTACACGCTGGGTGGGCTCACAAGCCAATGAGGAACTTGGTTTTCGAGAGCAGGAAAACGAATGCCCTGTGTTTCACAGTAAGAAAATGCCAGGCTTGCATTCGTCTGTGTGGTTTAAGTAATCGTATTATTTGCTGGAAACTGTTCGGAAGAGCCCTATGTAAATTCTCAAGCAGAAGACAGCTGAGATAAGCTGATTTATTGCCTAGTATTCTGTTATTGGGGGTTTTTGAGCTAGCTATTGCTCAAATGGTTGGGGCAGAGACTGCTTAAAGCCATGGGAAACCAAGTCTCAATCAGTAGGTTGTAGCAAGCCCAGAGAGCAAATTCCTGCCCGTAGTTTGCTGCTGGGGGCCTGAGAGAGCTTCTCCTCACCGATCCTGTCAGCCAGTTTTACACCAGTAAACCAAGCTTCCGGGTTCTCAGAGTCTGCTCATGACAGTGTGCTCCATGCTCTTCTCATGGACCTAAAGTGACCTGCTCCTAGGTAGGCAGGGGACTCCTGCGACCAACTTACGTTTTTTTCTTCTCACTGAAATGTCACTGGAAACAAAGTTTGGGGATACGATTGTTTTAAGAAACTATACCCTAAGTCCAGTGTCTTTAGCATCTAGCCTTTTTTGTGAGGCAGGGCCTGACGTAGTCAAGGTTGGCCTTGACCTCTGCATCTTCTTGCCTCCATTTCCTAGCTACTAGGATAGCAGGCAGGTGCCACCATAGAGGTAAGGAGGTGGCTTCAACGTGAGTGATTAGTAATCTCAGCACAGGGAGGCAGGGACAGGGAGATCCCTGGGGCTCACTGGCCAAGCAGCCTAGACTGCCTATAGAGCTCCAGGCCATGAGAGACCTTGCTTCCCCCACCCCACCCCCAAAAAGTGAGGGCTGGCCAGATGGCTCAGTGGGCAGAGGCACTTGCTGCCATCGTGGAAACCTGAAGTCAGCCTCTGGAACCCACATGGTGGAGAGACCTAATTCCCGAAGCTATGCTCTGACCCCTACACACATGTGCACACACATGCATCCGCATATACGTGCACGGGTATAAGCATACACCTGTTTATATTTCAAAGCATGTCATTTTTTTTTTCAAACTGTAGCGGACACCCCCCCACCTGCTTACCTGCCTCCTGAAGACCCCATGGCCCAGGATGGCTCTCAGCCAATGGACACGAATATGATGGCACCTTCACTGCCCTCGGAAGTCAACAGAGGAGGTAAGAGAAGTTGCTGCTCACTCCCTTTTTAGTTTGTTGTCCCTATGTCCAAATGTGACTTTCATTCACATAGACCTTAAAAAGGTCGTTATTTGAGAAACATGGAAAACAGGTTTTCTGTTGTTGTTTTAAGCTTAATGGAAAGAATTCTCTAGAACCCATCTTTTTACTTAAACTCTGTCACAATTCCATATGAGATCTCAGAATGAATGTGGAGGTCTCAGATTTTCACTGGTCTCTGAAATGGCCTTAAGCAGCATTCTGCCATTTTTGTACTACATAGTTAGGTGAAGTTAACCTCAGCTTTAGTGGTTAGGAAACCGAACTGTCAGTCAACTCTGAGGACAATGGGAGATGCTGTGTGTTGAGTCTTCAGACAAGACTTGTTGTTTATGTAAAAATAAACAAGCATGTCTATGTCATTAGCACGCTAATTCGCTTTCACCTTCAGTAAATGGCTAACTGATATATATTATCATATATACATACATACCAAATAACTGTTTAAAATGCATTTACCTATGACTCATTACCCATAAGTGTGGGTTTGTATAGCTGTCCCACATACCTGTGCATCCATGAGGTTGTTAGAGATCTCTTGAGCATGCAGAGACGGTGGGGAGGAGACGGTTGAGTCCTCTTTTACATAACAAACATGTCTGTTATTTAGATGGTCATGTGTTCAGGTCTTCAGTAATTAATAACTTGAGATCCATGCTGCAAGAAGTGTCTTTAAATGGGCCGAGAGGAACAGGCCGTCTATAGAAGTGCAAAGCCGACTCCCGTGGGTGATCCGTACAGCAGGGTTTCCCAGCAGCACCTTTGGGTCAGAGTAGACTCGCATGTGCCTCGTCTGTTTTATGGTCCTTATCTGTCACTGAAACAAGTAGTGACATTTGTTTTCTTCTTTCTGGACTTGTGCCTAACTTAATTACAAAAAAAGAAAAGAAAAACAAGAAAATTAGAGGATGGAATTTTACCTCCCTTCCCTCCAAGAGCTTACAAGTAGAACTGAAGTTCATGTTCCCTCTCTGGGGAGGAGGAGCTGGTCTTCACCGTCGGCCCGTTTCAGCCGGGGAGTGACTTGGTGTGTGGATGACTCCACCTGCTTCCCAGAGCCACAATGGCAAGCTGAGTCAGCTTAAGGGAACAGAGAATCAGATACTGACACCCTACCACCACCGCCAAACACACACTAGCCCTGCCGTACAGTGCCATGCTGCTCTGGCAAGATAGGCTCCCGGTCAGTAACTTCGGGAGGAGACCTCCCCCAAGTGCTCAGCCTGGGTGTGAAGCAATTGAAATTAAAAAGCAGTGTGCCTGCTGAATTTGTCTTATTTTGTTCTTACCCCCATTTTTAGCGAATGGGAGGTAGCTCAGACGTTGTCAGAGCTGCTGATGCTTGTTAAGGATTTCAATGTGATGCTGCCTGTCTGCCAGTGTAATAACAACAGCAGCAGGCCCTGCTCACCTGTGACTGTAACAGCAAGAACAAGCCCTAGTGCGGACTCTGGGTTTGGGATGGTGATGTAGCAGCTCTTGAGTTATACTGAATGTACCACTCTGATGGGGGATCTTGGTGGTGAGAGGGCATATGGGAAGTCCCTGCATGACCCTAACTGCCCCAAAAATAAATTTTAAAAATGATGATAATAATCTAAAAGAAACTTAGTTGTACGATTAAGTAAATTAGAACATACAACTTTTAAATCAGTGATTTTGTTTTGGAGTTTTCTTTATAGGCTCTCTATATTTTACGGGTCTTGGTCATCGTTAGATGCTGGGAGTCAAAAAGTAGAGGCGTCTGATTGAGAGAACAGCCAGCCCCATCTGACCCATTTTTGGAATTTTTATTTGGGGAGCAAGATACCCTGTGTGGACCCTATAATGGTACTGATGAGATTAGCTCTATGACTTACTTTTAAGATCTCCTTCTTTTTAAATAGCCTTAAAATGTTCCCTGTTAGAGCCAATTTAAAAACCACCTAGTATTTTCAAAGGAAAAAATGTTGGCTTTTCTCCTGTTGTTACCTGTGGTGGTTTTCC